TTGGAGAAGTTTTTCCAAAAAGGAGACGAGGATTTTGAGGCTTGTGATGCCAATATCCTCAAGTGGAAGCATCAAATTAAGGAATTATAGTCAAAAGTCAAGAAAGTTGAAGATAGGTAGGTTGAAATCCTAAGCGTGAGTTAGTAGCAGATGAATGATGAAGCTTTGGTTAGAGTCCAATACTGGAAAAAAGTGAAAGACTTTGACGTGGAGATTAAGAGCCCTACTTCTTCCATCTCACTAACCGAGTGTCGACTTACAGCGACAAAATTTCGATATGAAATTCTTAAAGCCTCTCTTCCTTTTTGAAGCTTATGATCTTTCTTTTTTGATTATCTACTTTGTCTTTAAACATTTTGATCTTTATCTTGTAATATTTGAATATGCCACTTATGGCATTTTAACCTTAGGTTATAACCCCTGGCCTTATTTTACGGAAGCTTTAATTTCATTCTTCCTATATTTTTATTTCCTGCAACTTAGACCTATATTGTTTTAAAAACTTGTTGTTTATTCCCAGGATTCGACCCTCATGGGTCAATTCTTCAACTTCATGTGTATTGTTTGTAAATGCCTCGATGACTCGAAAATGTCCTTTCGAATTTGGGGACCATTTTCCCATGGTTTGATCTTTCTTATCCATTGGTAGGATGGCTTTCCAAACTAAGTCTCCACATGTAAGGGTTTTTTCCTTAATCTTTTTATTGCATGATTTAGCCAATCATTCTTTTTGACGTATTTGTACGTCCAAAGCTCCAATTTTTCTTCTTCATCCAACATCATGTTCCAATAAGACTTAGTTGGTATCTCACCCTGCCTTTGAATTCTGTCTTATTGCAAGTATATTTCTACATGTAACACTGCGTCATGCCGATACGTGAGTTGAAAGGGTGTAAAGTTAGTCAATTCCTTAAGCGAATTTCGACATGCCCATAAAACTTGGCCTAGTGTTTTATGTCCATTTGTTTTTATTTTGACCTATATGTTTTTTAAACAAACCAATTATAAATTCATTGGCTGCTTCGACCTGACCATTGGCTTGGGCATGATGAGGTGTCTATGTCAACAACCTGAACACCATTTCTTAGGCAAAATCTACCATCTTTCGACCCGTGAACGCTGAACTATGGTCTGTAGTGATGGTTTCAGGGATCCAAAATCTATATATTATATGGTTCTAGATGAAACTAATTACTGCTTCCTGGTTGACATTGGGTAGAGGAATAATTGCTATCCACTTAGTAAAGTAATCTATTCCAACTAGTATATACTTATGCCTCTTTGATGATGAAGGTGTGATTTTGCCTATAATGTCCAACGCCCATCCTCTGAAGGGCCATGACTTCATTACTGAGTGTAACTCACTTGCAGGTACATGTTAGATCCCTTAATGCCTCTTGCATTCCTGACAACCATTAGCATAGTTTATGCGGTCTTTTAACATAGTTGGCCAATAAACGCCAAGTCGAAACAACAACCATTTCAGCTTTTAGACTGACTGATGGGAACCACATGACCCTCTATGTACCTCAGATATTGCTAGATATGCATCACTTTTTCCAAGATATTTAAGAAGAATTCCGTCAGGAGTTTTCTTGAATAACTCATTTCCCATGATTACATAACTCAGGGCTCTATACTTTATCTTTTGATCTATCGTTCCCAGAGGGTTTCCCAGGTACTCAATGATTGGTTTTTTCCAATCATTATCCATCATATCATCAACGGCAAAAATGTCGAAAGTAAAAATTTCACAAGTATAGGGATCATGAAGATTTTTAAAATCTAAAGCATGAGAAACCCAGACCTTTTCAAAGTAAAAATTTGACAAGTATGGGGATCCTGAATATTTTTAAGATCTAGGGTACGGGAAACCCTAAACATTTTTGAAATAAAAGTTTTATAAGTATGGGGTACCTGAAGGTTTTTGAGATCTTGAGTGATCGACTAGGAAGTCTGCCACATTCTAGCCTTTAATAGATTTCAATGGTGCATAAGTTAATGAATATTCAATAAGGACAAATGCATATTCCCCTATTCGACTATGTAGAATAGGATTTGATAACATATGCTTAATTATATCAAAGTTAGAATAAACATAAACATAGAAAAGTTTTATATAACGCTTTAACTTGGTACATCAAAATTACAGGCAGAAACAAAGCTTTTCTATAAAGCTATATCTAGTTTCAACATCATTCATGATTCGAATAAGGTAATATACGACTCTTTCTACACCACTGTCATCTCCTTGAACCAACATACTTCCTATAGTCATTTTAGATGTTTTTATTTACAATTTCATGTCCTTATTTCTAGTAGGAGGCTGCAATATAGAAGACTTCATTAAATAAGCTTTGATCTCATCAAATGCCTTCGGATGATCTTCTTCCCATTGAAACAACCGGTTGAAAATCATCAAACAACAAAGTCGCCATTGAACGTCTTTTATTCCACATGAAGGGAAAGGTAAACATCTAGAAAACCTGAGAAGGGAGAAGTCACAGTCTTGCGACCGAGAGATCGGGTAAGAGAGTCTGTTACACGAGGGGAAGGTATTAGCACCCCACACGCCCATAGTACTCTATGATATCCACTCTTGTTGTCTATCTTATGGGTGTGTTTAATCTATGCTTACTATTACTGCTGAGAAAGAAGAATGCATGCAAAAGAAACGAGAGAATAATGTAGGAAAAATAAAGTTTTACTCGCTTGGGCCCTACCCCAATGCCTACTTATCCTTTTTGAGGAATCAGAGCTGCAATAGTTTGGCTCATGTGTTTTTGTTTGTTTTGTGTTTTTTATGGACAATGTTAATTCCAACTTCTACCGCAGCTCGACCTTTGGAGACTTATGCATTGGAACATAAGTAAATTAATCATGTCCTTACTTGAAAAAGGTTTCAAGCTACGCCCTCAAAGCAAGATGCCCCATTTGATTGGTTTGTGTTTTGTTACCTTGAAAAAGGGTTTAAGTGTTATTAGCATGTTTTAGGTTTGCTAAGGAAAAGGTCTAGTTTTAGATGCAATGAAGCAAAAAGGGGAAGAAAAGAGTCTAAGGGAGACTAGCCTATTTATAACCTAATGTTATCATACAATGGTAGCCCTACGTCAAGGATGAAAGAGGAAATTTTTACCTAATGTTAGCATGCATGGTTTGCAACCTAATGTCTAACTTGCGTCCTAAAGGAGCAAGCACATCCTGAGGGAATATGGTATGTACAAGGATAAATCAAGAAAGCTTGAAAGAGCACACACATTAAAGAGTAAGGAAAAGAAGAGAAATGATTTAGCCAAGGGGAGCGTATCACCCGAGACAAACAAGCGGGAGTGAGATGAAAAAACAAAAATGTGATGTCCAAAGCGACTGAACACCTAACCAAGATATAGGAGATCGAGGCAGGCGACAGAAGGCAATATGAGCAATCACAGAGTATCAGCATCAACCAATGCGAACTCCTGACAAGGCGTGGGGGTTCGATTGTAGAACCCATCCCCACTTGACGACTCGATATACATGAGCAGGCACAACTCCGAAGCTTCGTGGTGCGTCACGAGCTAAGGATGACACGAACATAAATATGGGGGTTGATTGCTAACCTTATCCGCTCGCCTCCTTTTGAGGACTTCAATAAGGGACGGGGGAATAATGGGGGCACAAATATAAACATGCCTGCAGAATACCTACTAAAAAGTAGGGTTTTAAACAAACCACACACAAGTAGCAAACAAAATGCACACAATGCGGAATTGTCCTAAACGGGTCTTTAAATAAACCAAAGGGGTTCCTGAAATAATTAGCAACAGAGATCCCCGTCATACATCTCTACCCTACTTCTCATGGCATCAGAAAGAAGTAAAATCCTACTTCTCATGATATCTAGAAAAGCGTTAAAGTGCGGAAATGAGGAATAAAAATGATGTTGCAATGATACCGAATGAAGAATGTTTGTTGCCTCTTCGAAACCATACAAGCAATAAGAAAACTCTACTAGAATCTCCTTGAATTTCCTTGATAAAAATTATGCTCTTGGCTAGCTTTACAGCTTCGTGAAATCTTCACCTGAATCTCTTTTATTTACCAATATCTCAAAAATTAAATCACCAAAACTAATCGCAAGTGTAATTGAAACAAGTATTGAAGATAAGACTTCAGAAGGTACAAAGCTGAATTCATGAGGTATAGTCCAGCAATCAGAAATCTGGGCGCTAAGCCCATTTTGTTTGATCCCTTGAGGCTAGGTGTGTGGTATCAAAGTCCCACACAAAACAGTCCAATAACATCTTTTTGCAAGGACAATCAGCTGGTACCAAAATCATTTGTGGGCTCGTTGTGAGCACATTAAGTCCAATGGAAGTTCTTCTAGCAAGGCAATTCCACCAAAAAATGCATACAGGCCCAAGGAGGTGTGGTCCGGCCCAGTAACCATGCTTCCTTACAGATCCTTCTTTTCAACATAATTATATTTAATATATAAAAACAAAAACAAAACAAAAAATATAATATGAAAGGGATGGATACAGTGCGTTTCAGTGAGACAGCTAGGGTTCAATTGGTTGTGACTCTCTAGCTTCTTCGAACATCTTTCACTCTCTCTTCGAACGGTGCTCCACTCCTCGTTTCGATTCACCACTGTGGCAACTGGTTCACCATTTTCATAACGAGCTCATTTGTCCTTCTCTAAACCCTCACCGTTGTGGCTATCACCCCTCTCTGATAGAAATTGAAATGCCTCTGTCTATCGTGATCGTCTGATTCGAGTCCGAGCTCTCATGGATTCCGCTCCATCTGTCTCGATTCCTCCTTCATCTCATCTTTCTTCCGTCTTTACCTTCGTCTCAGTCGGTTTTGCTGCTCTTATCAAATTCGACCATACCTTCGCGATCTCCGTCTCCTTCCGGCTTCTGTGATGAAATATTGTTACTGCGAGCGACGTGTTGCATTGCGATGATGTTGATTGTTGTAGTTTCTTTCGTTATTGAAGATGCATGTGATGAACAATGAAGAATATTGTGGAAGATGACGAGGAATTGTGGGAAACGTTGATGTTGATTCTTGAAGGATATTGCAGAGAGAATGGTGTTGGTGATGAAGATCAAGAAAGGTGCAGGAATTAAGAGTTATGCGTTTTTCCGAAGAAGAAAGTTATGTTGAAGATGTTGCTATGTAGTTTGTTGCATAAGCTCGAAGGCACAAGATTGATGGTGTTGCAGAATCTTGAAAGTGCAAGGTCGATGATGTTGCAGAGTCGATAAAGGTGATAAAGTTAATGAAGGCTGCAAAATATTGATGGAGATTGAAGTAGATCAGTTGAAGGAGGTGAAGATGGTGATGAGGAGTTCAGAGAGAGAATCCAAATTTCTTTTGGTGAGTTTTCTTTTGTGAATGATTGGTTATGGAGGGAGAGAAGAGAGGAGATGAAGATTCAATCCAAATGAAGGTGGGTTCTCTAACTGATTTTTTGTTTTTGTTGAATTCTGTTGAGATGCGGTTAAGAGGGAGAAGAAAGTTGCATGGAGAAAATTGGAGATTGAGAAGGAAGGTTGAAGATGATGTGGAAGGTGGAAACTTTCGAGAGAATCAGGTTGAAAAGTGAGAATCCAATCCTCTCCCTTTTCTGTTGCTTTTCTATTATGAAAACCTTCCTCCTCTATCTCTCCCTTTCTGTTATATCATTTGGTCGCTTAGAGTTAGTCAGAAAAGTGGTTAGGGAATTAGAGGTAGTTAGAAACTGTTAGGGATTGGTTACAGGGTTAGTTGTGGTTGACAGTAACAAAATGGTTAAAAGGAGTTGTGGAATTAGTTATGGCTCTGCTGGAAATTTGTTACATGTCATTTTTTTGGATGAAGTTTATTCAATTGGAAAGTTGGATACCGTTATGCGGTTTTTAGTCTACTATTTGTAAAGTCAGTTAGTGTTTTAAGTTGCAGAAGTTAGTGTTTTAGTTTGTTAGGGTAGCTTTTATTGGTTACAATTTTATATTGGAAGCAGGTTTTAGTATTGAACTAACATGTTGCAGCTTCAATTGTAAGTTGCAGGGTTGCATGTGTATGAACGATTTTTATGATGTTGTATGTGATGCAGGTCAGGTGATGAAATTAACTGAAGGAATTTGTCTGCAAGGTTGCTTGTAAGTGAAGAAGAGTTTGGAAGAATTGTAGGAACATGGAGACAAATTGAGTTAAATCAACAAATACTTAAAGGGATGTTGAAGGATGAGTTTTTTAGGTATTAGATTAAAATTCATTCCATGTCAACAATGGAATTTTTTCCTGTAATTTTCCAATGTAATGGTATTGAGGCAAATGGCCAATGTATGGAAGTGCAATGACTTTTATCCTTGCAATGAACAAAGTCTGAATAAAGTCAGATCATTTTTCTCCCAATCTTTTTGTAATAGTTTTTTTTTTGCACTTGCAACTTTGAATGAACTCCTGATTTTGGTGTTGACTTTGTCAACCAAGTAATATGGAATAAAAGGTTTCCCTCCTTTTCAAATTTGAAATTCAACTTTTCTTCTTTAATGCCTTAATAATTCCACAAAATCCCATGTATTCTTCCAACAACCTTGATGAATTGAACCAAGTTTGAGTTCATGGAATCATTTAAATCCACTTCAACCTTAATCCAATATTAACTTGCATGACAAGAAACAAACAATTCGAAAGAAGGACGCCTTGATTATAATCCACATGTTGTACCATGTTTCGATTGTATGAGCAATAAAAATGTCTTGGATCCTTGAAGAAAATATTCAAGATGACATTGACTTTAGCTCACATAGTCTTTACTTAAACCTTTAATGAAACCCTAATGATCCTGCCCTTGATGAACATGCCAAATTTGTAACTTAATGAGAGAAAGAAGTTCTCAATGATCAAGATTCCAGACCCTAGCTCCACAAACCATAGTTAATGAGAAAACAATTGATTCAAGCCTCAATGAAGATAAGAGTCTTAAAGCACATACAAAACCCCAACTTTAAGACCCTTGTTCTTATGCCAAATTATTGACTGATGATGCATGACGTGTTAGATGACCTAATAAAGGTTATGTACGTAAGAAAAATGCGAGATGCGTAAGCCCGATAAAAGAAAAAGGGTAGGACAAATTTAGGGTATTACAGCTGCCCCTATTTAATCGTCTTAAACCTGAAAGTACGATTGGCGCGTGCCTTTCGGAAGTTCAAGGTTGAAGATGATTAAATACCAATGCCAAAAATTTGTTCTGAGAGAGCGAGTAAGTGTTTTATTTATTTTTGTGATATCCATTGGGGAATTAAAAGAGGTGAGACTAAACCGGAGGTATAAGTCGATCAAGACATGACGACATCAAAGTACATCGATTAGGACACGATGACTAAGAGAAAAACACCGATTAGGACACGATGGTTGAAAGGGAGACATCGATCAGGACACGATGGCTAACAGGAATACATCGATCAGGACACGATGATTCACAAGGGAGGTATCGATCAGGACACAATAACCAAAAGGAAGACATCGATCAGGACACAATGGCAAACAAGAATACATCGACCAGGACACGATGATTCACAAGGGGGGTATCGACCTGGTTACGATAACCAAAAGGGAGACATCGATCAGGACACGATGGCTAATAGGAATACATCGATCAGGACACGATGATTCGCAGAAGAGGTATCGATCAGGAAACGATAACCAAAAGGGAGATATCGATCAGGACACGATGGCTAATAGGAATACATCGATCAGGACATGATGATTCGTAGGAGAGGTATCGATCAGGACACGATAACCAAAAGGAAGACATCGATTAGAACACGACGGCTAACAGGAATACATCGATCAGGACACGATGATTCACAGAAGAGGTATCGATCAGGACACGATAACCAAAAGGAAGACATCGATCAGGACATGATGGCTAATAGGAATACATCGATCAGGCCATGATGATTCGCAAGGGAGGTATCGATCAGATCATGATAACCAAAAGGGAGACATCGATCAGGACACGATGGCTAATAGGAATACATCGATCAAGACACGATGATTCACAGAAGAGGTATCGATCATGACATGATAACCAAAAGGGAGATATCGATTAGGACACGATGGCTAATAGGAATACATCGATCAGGACACAATGATTCGCATGAGAGGTATCGATCAGGACACGATAACCAAAAGGAAGACAACGATCAGGACACAGTGGCTAACATGAATACATCGATCAGGACACGATGATTCGCAAAAGAGGTATCGATTAGGACACAGTAACCAAAAGGGAGAGATCAATCAGGACACGATGACTGAGAGGGAAACACCGATCAAGACATGATGATTTGCAGGAGAGGTATCGATCAGGACACGATAACCAAAAGGAAGAGATCAATCAGGACACGATGGCCAAAAGGGATACATCGATAAGGACACGATGGCTAAATAGGAATACATCAATCAGGACACGATGATTCGCAAGAGAGGTATCGATCAGGACACGATAACCAAAAGGGAGATATCGATCAGGACACAATGGCTAATAGAAATACATCGATCAGGACACGATGATTCACAGGAGAGGTACCGATCAGGACACGATAACTAAAAGGAATACATCGATCAGGACATGATGGCTAATAGGAATACATCGATCAGGACATGATAATTCGTAGGAGACGTCGATCAAGACACGACAAATGTTTGAATCGATACGGACGAGTATCAAGAAAGTTTAAACACAAACGAGTGTTTGAATCAATAGGGACGAGTATTAAGAAAAGGTTAAACACGGACGAGTGTTTGAATCAATACAGACGAGTATTGAAAGAAGATACAGACGGGTATCAAAAGGTTTAAACAAGGACAAGTGTTTGAATCAATACGGACAGGTATTGAAAGAAGATACCGATGAGTATCAAAGAAAGTTTAAACACGGATGAGTGTTCGAGAGGCTGACACAGATGAGTGTTTATGAGTTGACACAGACGAGCGTTTGGGAAACTGTCATGGATGAGTGTTTATGAGTTGACACAAACGAGTGTTTGGGAAACTATCATGGATGAGTGTTTAGGAAACTGACACAGACGAGTGTTTGGAAACCCACACAGACAAATGTAGGAAGACTGAATTATTTGTCAGAAGGGAACTAGCTACCAGATGAGAACTGGGTTTCGAATGACAAGGTGTATTGATTTGGCTGGGAATTGTGAAGGTGAAGGTCACCAGCTGGGGATCTTGGAAGCGATGCCCTCTTGTGGGGATGTATTGTTGTCCTTGAATGATTTAGGTATTTCGTGTAAGGTACTTGATCTAGCTTATGCTTCATATGCATGTTTGAATTTCTTTTGTCGCAAAGATCCATTATGATGGATCTGCTACGCGCTTTTAAGGATGCAATGTTATGCAGTGATAACTATATGCAAATGCAAAGGAATAAACTTCATGGGAATAAGCGAAGGCTCATTGAGAACTATTGCTCATCATTAGGGATACCAATACATATCGGCGCTGGAAGCCTGCAGTACCAAGGATGGCTGGGGATACTGGTAAGAATTTGCATTAGGGAGCTCGTGATACCGAAGATTATCGATGACTATGCTGAAGATTGAATGGATGACAAAGCGAGTCTTCAGGTACGCCACTGAATTCTGAATTGTACTGTCGGGGAAGAGATAATTTGGCCAGACTTCCATACATCCTGAACCGCTTGGAGGATGGTAGAACTGAATATGCCGAAGAATGAACATTGAACACCATGTGAATCTCTCCGAATACATGCCCCAAGTTTACGCCACATTGGGAAATTACCTCTTGAACCACTTAGGGAGAAAAGATAGATATGGACACCTGCAAATTCCCTGGTTTAGCTCTACTGGGGATGCACTTGATTAACTCCACCGGGGATGCACTTGCACGTGCCAAGTCAAACAATGACTCTGGACTTTCTGAATTCACTTGGGGAATCAGGTTTGAAATTGTCTACATCAGATGAAGGAGGCTTCGTGTACTGTCCAAGTCAGGATAACTGTTATGACGATTTTAGCTTGATTTGTCTCGTACAACATGATTGGCTTAAGCAACTTTGCAAGTACGAATACGGAGTGCCCCTGTCTGTGGGATTTCTGAAAGAATCTGTGCTGAATAAAAGGCCAGAATATCCGTGCCACAATACGATATAAGGTGGCATGTCCCAATGTCTCGAGTCATGAAATAAACTACTCTTGATTACAGATTTCTTGGAGAGATTTGTCGAATCTCGACGTAACTCCCTCAGGTTGAATAAATTCTGAATAGATTTATCAATGTGATAACCCTTGATCGACAACAACTTGAAGAGATTTATCTATGTGATAGCCTCTGATTGATATCTTTGAGGGAATGCCTCAGATTTGGATGAGGGTGGATAGATCGACTCTCGACTTGATTGCCCCAGATTGTTGGAATCTGCTAACTTTATCCCTAAAGGGTACTCAGACTGTGAAGCACCAAGATCCTTTCTCTTGATAGAATCACTGGTTAACTTTCCCCTGGATAATTCATATCTCTTGTGATAGCTGACTCTTGCTTCAACAGAGTATTCAAGCCTCTCTTCTCTGACAAGATTGGGCT